CGCGGAGCCTGCCCGTGAGGCACTGCTCCGTTTCCTTCCATCGGCTCGCGGTCCGGGAGCTGGCACTCCAGGCGCGGGCATGGTGAATGCTTATTTTAACGCTTAGCCAAGGACATTTGCAGTAACGAAGGACGTAGAAACAGAATGAAACCTGCCTTTGTCCTTCACAGGGTTAGCAGTTTTTTGTTATTATTTATTGGGAAAAGAACCCCAAACCCTTACACCTGACACTAGGTACATCAGTTTGGAAGCCCCTGATGCTTTGCCGCTTTCTCCATAGCGGCGCTCATTTTTTCCGTCTACAAACCACATTAAGAACAACCGCTTCTTTTACACATTGAACTGGGCCAGAGAGTTAACTGTATTTCTCTCTAGTTATTAATCTTACCACTTTTTCTTCTTAGCAGTATCTTATTAATGAAAAAAAATATTTCCATTAGTTTCGTAATCTCCATGAATTCTCTTCTGAAGCCTTTTCCCCCTGCTAGCCTTGCCAGTACGTATTGTTCTTTACAAATGATTTTGGTAGGAAAAATTTTCGGCCTCCTGAGCTGTATCCTTGTGTCCTGTGTTTTCTAACTAGGTTAACGACATTGCTGCACCTTCAGATATATGTTCACAGGTGTAGGTATAATCTAGGAGTCGCCTTGCCAGGGAGCTTGTCTTGCCCTGTAAAGGGTTTCTTGGAAAGAAAATCCAAAAATTTGCTTAAAACTTCCAACAGAAAGAGGGAAAAAAAGAAATTTCTTATCAGCTGTTTGGCAGTACATGGTATCCCCGCCAGCAAGGATGGGAAGATTAATAGCACTGTTCAGTAGCAGCTAGAGTTTAAGGACACAGACAAGACTTGACCAGCACGTGTGGTACGCAGCTGGAAAAATATCACACCACGTTCTTGGCACACAAACCTTTCTCAGGGCCCAAAATAAAGGCAGAAATCACAAACGTGATACACACTTGGCACTTGCTCCAATTGAACATGTATTAAACAGGGAGTGGTTAGCAACTCTGGTCTCTTCCAAGAGCTATCAACTCCTTCCCCGTGTTCCTCCCCAGCACCTCCAAGGATGTCCTCTCCTCTAGCAGAGATGCAATAGCTGATGCGTGGCTTATAAACCCCCAACAACCCTCCTCCACTGGTATTTAGTGCCAACATCTGCTGATTGTTAGGAGCCGAAGAAGGGCTTGTGGAGTTTCCTCCTGCGCACCCAGCCATGGGGATCTCCTCCCTACCCTTCAGCGGCCTTGCCTGGTATCTCCAGGCGTGCGCCTGCGGCAGCCGTCTCCATCCCTCTCCCCTCCTTGCTCCTGGGAAGGGGCTCTGGCCACCCCACACCCGCTGGCCTGCAGCCCCCAGACCCCTGAGGCAGAGCCCCCTGTACCTGGTGGGCAGCTCCTCCCTGGCTCCATGACCAGGGAAACACAGGGCTCTCCCCACCTTCTAGAAGATTCCCTGCCTCCCTCCCCCGCCACACATCTTGTCCCCACAGCCACCCACTTCCCAGAAAAGCAACCCCCCACCTCTTACTCTGCCCCCAGCCCCACTCCCCTTTGCAACCCCTCCCAAACCAGAAGCCCCAGAGAAGAAAGAAACAGGCCAAGGCGATTTTTTTTTCCTCCCCTAATAGCAAAATATATTTCAACTGCTGTAATACAGTAGATTATAAACAGCTCTTCTGCACGACAGAACAGGGTATGGGTTGCATACAGGGAACTGCTGGTGCCAGGGCCCGGGCACAGCGCAGCATGCAGTGGCTGCTGGGCCGTCCTCCGCCTGTGCCACCGCAGCGGACGGGGCAGTGATGGCTTCTGGGCCCCAGCTGCGAGCATGGGGAGAAGGGACAAGGCTGAACCCCGATGCCACAGAGCGCAGGGGCTGGGCTGCTGTCCTTCCAGCTGACCTAAGGGCAGAAGGGGGAGCTCAAACAGTTCGGCTTTCCTTTAGCAGCTGGACTGATTCACATTAACCACGCCATTCCATATTATAAAAATACATCAGGATTTCCCCCCCTCCCACCACAGCGTGTAGCCTTGCTCAGACGGCTGTCGCAGGATAGCACAGAGTCAGGCGCTCAGGCGCACGGCTGCTTCACCTCTGAAGGCTGGAAGCTAAATTTAATCCCACCGGAAAGGACATACTAGGCACAAAGGCTCCGCAGAGAGTTCAGTCTTCCTGAGGACAAACTCTTTTCTGCACGAATACGGTGAAGTATGCGCTGGTTTTAATACTGATTTTTGTAATGCTCTTGAGCAAGCAGCTCCCGCTGTACGGGCTGCCGTTCCAAAGCTGGAGGCTTCCCACCTCAAAACTGGGGGAGTTACTATGGAAGCAAGCTGCACAATTCTGGTGTTGGCAAGAACCACAGAAAACAGTATATACTGTTATTAAGAACTTGTAAAGTAGGCATCCTCATTACTGACCAGAACACCATACTGCCAGCTCTGGCACTCACAGCCTAAGAACATGCAAACAAACATGGTATGATTGACTCTAATTAAACAAGCAATGTGCAAAAGAATTAGTATTTGCCCTCCAGTACTCTTGAGAAAAAAAAAAGTAGGCCCACATTCAAAAGCAATTTAAGAACCCATGAAAGTAATCCCAGCTGTTAATGCCCTGACAGCACCATTGCCAGATGCCTCGATCCACAAGGCAAAAAACCTCACCCTGTCAAAAACTAATTCCAACAGCTGAGCTTCCCCTTCTGCTTGCCTCTTGCTCGTCAGGTGCTCAGCCCCTCAGGCTTCAAATACTCAGGGTGCTGACACACTAAATGCTGATATTCTTCATCGGGAATACGACAGAGCCAGCTGCAAGGGAATCACCAAACCTTGGCACAGCGTGCTATGATTTGATCTGGTTTTGAGAACACCAAGACAGCAACAAGGCCTGACATGGGCATCAAGATGACCAACCAAGTCCCTAATCCATCGCACCCGTTTGAGGGCAGTTACATCTCTATGTGTGAGCACCACAGCCAAGCAGTGCTGGACTGAATTTCATCCTCTGCTAAGGAGGTGACAAAGCTGTTTGGCCAACAGGTGGGGTTTTTTGTTTGTTTGTTTTCTCCCCAAAAAGGAACCTCAGATGCTGCAGCACTTCTGTCCCTCCCACAAACAGTACGGTGAAAGATTCAGGATTAACCAAACTGAATGAGGATAAAGTAATCCATTTCATTCTCAGGATTTTACACACTAATACTGCCAAGTTTGAGTACATGCACGAACCCCTTCCTCCAACATGAGCCCAAATGTTTCACAAGCAAGCGCTAGTGGAGGTATTTTCAGAGGAGAGCCACACATGCGAACACTGTATTTGGCAAATTTGACTTAACACAGTTGTCCCTTCTGAAGAGCGGGATTCCTTCTCACAGAAAACCGAAAACCTGGAGGAGTTCAAGTATTGCCTAGCTTTTACGACATTACTTTTGACTCAGGTTGGTAAAAACAGAGGCCCAAAAGATAGTCTTATGTGGATTGGGAGACAGGTGCGTCAACAGCCCCAATGCTGCTGGTATCCAACACCTAGGCTGTAGGTCAGTCAAGAAATGCGTTTACCAAAAAGCGTCAGTAAAGAACATTTGAGTAATGCAGAAATCCCTGTGACCAACGTTAAGGTACCTCCATCAGAATGGCAGCACAGCTCCAGCGGAACCAGAGCGATACACACCCAGATACCACATTCGTACCCTTTCATGCTTAGGTCTGACAGACCAAGGAAACTGAAGGGACTCTACCCAATTAATGGGTATTGAAACACCAAGCTCACGTCACGCTTCTCCCTTTAGCAGCGCATATGGGAAGATGTCCTACCTCTTCAGAAAGAAGAGGGCAACACCGAGGAAACCGGTCTTCACTTGAAGTCCCCACTGGCATAAGAGCAGAGACAGGGAAATGACCAAGCAGCTCTGAGCCCAGCCACTGTGCCAGCCCTTCTCTCCCACCAGTGGTGCCAGCAGCTGCTACAACACGCTCTAGTGAGCAGCACCACAAGGCGCTGGCACACCGAATGCGACGCGGCCGCTTCAGAGGATGCACCAGGTACCTGTACAGCCAATTGCATTTTCTTACAGTTGGGTGGTAGTATTTCAAGCCTTTCTCACTAAAGGAAGCCTTAACAACATGTATACCTTCAAACACCTGCCCAGTTAAAGCTAAAGCTCCTTTACAAGTTAATTGTGTTAAAGGAATCTGAAGCAAGAGAAAGAAAGAGCTAGAAGAAACTGTTCCTCAAGTTGCAAGGGCTTGCGGAGAACAAAAATGCTGCAAGTCAGCTGGGAACTTCATACAGAGACAACATCAGTTTTCAGGGTAAAGTCACATAAAGACTGCACACACCGTGCCCTGCTTCTGAACCTGATTCTCCAGTGCAGCCACAAGTAAACTGACAATCCCCTCTTCTTCTGCCCATCTTACATCTGTAGGCAGCCAGCGCGCATCAAATGCAGTTCAAAGCCATCCAGGAATACTTTGGCTATTTTCAGAGCAAGGAGGCAAAGACCCCGTCTCTCTGCCACTTGTCTGCACCACAGCAGCAGACAGGATCACAAAGAACAGAAGTTTCATAGACATCCCATTACCAAAAGGGAGAAAAAAAAAAACCAAAAACACTGCAAAGGGACAGCTAAAGGAGATGGACGGATGCCAGGAATGAGCTACCAGCAAATCTGACTAGACTATCTGTCATCCAGAAGAGCAGCAGCTTGGGGGGACCCCTGGGTGAGTAGGATTCCAGCGGACTCCACCTTCAGCTCAGTGCTTTACTGGCATGGAAATGGCTCAAAGTGGGACAGCACGTAGTAGATGCTGCCTAGGAAGCCTGTTGCAATCCAGGTCAACTGGTTTGCCTCAGTAACGTTTAAAAAAAAAAAATACAGTTTCTCCCCAGCAATCAGGAGGCACAACTTCCCTTAGAAAAAGTCACGTAGTAGATGCTGCCTAGGAAGCCTGTTGCAATCCAGGTCAACTGGTTTGCCTCAGTAACGTTTAAAAAAAAAAAAAATACAGTTTCTCCCCAGCAATCAGGAGGCACAACTTCCCTTAGAAAAAGTCCATAATGAGTTAGGTCATTGGTCCAAATACTTGGAGGACAACTCTGATTTTCTGCGATGACACGGCCAGAGCATATCATTTTTACATCTTCACATGACACGACCATGAGCGTGGTTTTAAGTAGTCCAGGAACGTGGGCTGCAAAACAAGGAGAGGCAGCAAGTTAGTGACAGGCAGCCAGCGGTCTGCCGAAGTCAAACTCCCCTAATGGGAGAGATCAAACCGCATTTGCACATCCCGCAACGCTGTTCTTATCCTCACTAAACAGTGTGTGGAAATGTAGCTACAGCCACAAGCTGTTTGTCTGCCACCCACCCTACCCCAGTTCTGACACATCAGGTAAACGCTACATCTAGCGGCACATGGTACCACGAAATGAGTCATTTACAATGGCAAACTCTTAATTGAGGAAAATCAAACTTAAAACAGAGTTTGCCTGAGGATGCCTTTGGTTAAAGCTGAAACCAACAAAGACAGCAAGAAGTTTTACGTAGAACAGAATCTGGTACCAAGAAAATGAGTTGTAAGTCAGAGAAAGTAACACCAACAAAACACGAGACTGATCGTTTACAGGCAACTGATTCTCACTGCTGCCCACTCTAGCCCCAGAGACGCACAACAGGCTCAGTTTTTGTGGCCTCCTACAAGAGTTTCTCCTGACCTCACTGGCCAAGCACTGCAGTTCCATTCACACAGCCCGAACGGCCCAGCGTACTCTCGAGTAGCTGCTTACATCCTCAGAGACTGGGGAAAAACACCCTCAGCTTCAAGTAGTGAAATCCCATTGGCATAGAAAAATCACTTCTGAAGGCAATTTTGTTAGAAAAAGCTTTCCTAGGTTCTCTACAGTGTCTAGACTCTGTAACTCCTAATGAAGCAATACGGCACACTGCCAGAAAGGCTCGTGCCATTTAACTTCAGCGCTGTCCCCTCAGCAGGCAGGGACGAGCCACTTGCACAGTCAGTTCTCCCGCAGTGAGGTCGGTCACTCACATTTTCCGTAGGGCAGTACTGGCGGGCGTACCACTCCTGGCTGTAGAGGCAAATGATGACACCTTGGCCCAGGAAGAGCGACGTCCACATGATCACGTTCCAGATGGGCCCCTTCCGACGGTCATTAAGGATGAAGTTGAAGACCACTGGAAAGAGGTGAAACGAGAAGCACTGTTCAGAAACAAACTCGGGATTAAAGGATCAAAGACCAACTGACTCCGTTAGATCTTTCCCTCCCTTCACCTCTGGAGCAACAAGGCTGCTCCGTGAGGTCAGCAGAGCGCAAGAAAATCTGATTATGCTTGGCAGTAGAGCAAATACCATGAGTTGATTCTGACATTTACTTCCAATAAGTTTGCCAACAAGCTGGCCCAGCCGTATGCCTCTGGGGATCAATATTGTTGGTGTTACACTGGTGACTAAGACATGCTGGCAGAGGTGGCCTAGAGTTTTAGAGCCCTCTAACTCAAAACCCAAAATTAAATGCAAGAGCTCTAACTTTTAAATGGGCTCTCTTCCTCACTGCAGGAGCAAAGTAATACTTGTCTTAGGCTATGACTTCAAAGAGGAAGACTTCCAACCTGCTGACATACAGCAATTCAGCCAAGGCTTGGCAAAGAGGAAGCAATGCTATTAAAATACATAGTGTCACATGAACAGCAATATGTTACATACAGCTCTCTTCCTCTCCATCAGTACCTTGCTCGTCTAAGTCCCAAGCCTGCAAACCCAGTGTGTGTATATACATGTTTATCTATTGAACTACTCAGCTACAAAAATCCATTCACAAAGTTTGGACCCACAATTGCAACTCTTGGACAAGAAACAGTTCTGTGCGTTACGGCCTGAGGAGTAACTGGCATCGTTATCAGAGGTGCTTCTTTAAAAAACAAACCCCACAACCCACTTACATACTCTCTCCTGGGAACTTACTTCCAAAGCACATAAAGAGGCAAAAGAGAACTGGATAGAAGTAGCCAAAGCAGATGCTCAGAACGTATTCATGCACAGCAGCCGATACTGTGAAGACAGAGAGCATGGCTGCCGCTTTGAACTTCTTACCAAAAAACTGGAAGGGAGAAGAATACAAAGTATTATAAGATATTCCGCTGTGGTTTTAGTACGGTTGTTTCAACTTTTGTGTGGTGCTTTTTTTTTTTTAACCTGAGCTAAGAAGTGCCCGCTCCAGCCAAGCGGCACACATGAAATGCTAAACACTTTACAGAGTACCTTGGATTCTAGGTGGTTTACTTCAGTCATGTTTCTGGCCTCCTGCATAGGTACTCAGGTTGAGCCCACTCATGAACTATCCACCACAGCTCATCAAAATTGCGCAACGTGAGATCAGACTGTTGAGTCAATCCTTATACTCCTGCGTCTCAGACTCACATTTTGCACACATTAAGGACTCAAAAATGAGCAATGGATCTCTAAAAAGCCCACTGGCGACCCACAACAGCTGAGGCAAGACATTTTTGTGCTTCTCAATGGACAGTGATGCTGCGTCTTGACAAATGTACTGTCTTCCTTGGCAGTTAAGTGATTAATTAACAAAAAGAATACATCTGCTTGTTACTCACCCAAAGGAAGTCCCTGTAGGCATAGTAATACAGCCAGTCATGCACTACCACGTTCCAGGTTCGGTAGTAATTTGCATAGGAAGTGGAGTTCCACCAGTCCTGAAAGCACAGTTGAAAGAGAGTAAATCTAATTAAGCATAAAACATGCTACAGGTCTCTTGGATATCAAGTTGAAAAATATCAATCAGAACAACACCAAGCTAATATAACAAGTTACACTGAAATAATGCATTCGATCACACTTTCAACATTCTACTCTGTACATCAAACTTTGGTTTTATTTATCAAAGTTTTGGGGTTTTTTTATCCCAAACTGCAGTGGCTGAGATGATAAAAGAATAAAAATAGTGCTGACAGAGCTACTCGGTAAGTCTGGCGGCTGGTTCTATTTGTGCGCAGGGTATACTACCTCAATAGCAATTCAGACTGCCAAGGAGAAATCAGATCCATTCTACAGCACAGCAACAAACATAAGCCCTAACAGCATAAAACAAGTAAAACCCCGTGGATGCTTCGTATTGTAGAATGATAATCTTCATTTTTCTCCTCTTTCCTTCTTGGTAGGAAAATTAGTTTTAGAAGCTTTATAAAGCTTGCCTTATAATTTATAACTCCTGCTTCTTACCTTGTAGAACATTCTGTCTGCAAAGCGCAGCATCTCAGCAAACGCGTTAAGCCAACAGTGAAGGAACGCAAAGAAAACCAGGAAGAGAATCAGCACACCTAGAAACAAGGTAGAGCCAGACTAGTTTTGGAGCGGTTTCTCTTGGCTATAAGCAAGACCACATCATGCAGTCCAGACTGTTCATACAGACACTGACACAGACACGCTTTGTGCTCTCTATACAAAAAAGCAAAAGCATTCAGTCTCTCACCACACCAGGCCATGCTTACGGCAGATGGCAACAGCAAGGCTGCCACTGAGCCTGGAACTTGCATTTTGAGACAGTCAAATTCAAGGCCAAGCTTTCACTTCGTGCTGCTGACTCTAAAGTTTAACACTGTAACGCTGAAGCCTGCCCGCCAGACTTCTTTTGCTGATCTTTGCCTGTCATGAGTGCATCTCATACGAAGTGCTTCCCCTCCCTTCTGCCCATTCCTTAAAGGTCACTCATGAATCCAGGTCTCACCTGGTAGGATGGAGTTGAAGATGCAGAGAACCAGCCCTCGGAGATTGAAGGTTTCTTGACTACTGTTGCGAAACTGAGGAATGCAAAGTCTCACAAAGATGTAGTAGGCATAGAAGAGTGAACCAAGCACCTGGAACAAAAAGGAAAAGTCTCACTCCGTAAGAGAAATGCACAAATTAACACATTCCCACTTGACAGCTCTAGGAAAGGAACAGGAGCTGCCAACACAAGTCAAAATAATTTATTTTGCATTACTGCTAATAAACTTCCCTAAGGGTCCAGGCAGAAAGTAAACTGCAGCCATCTCTGTAGCACACTGACAGCCAGGAGCAAAATGAACTTGTCTTTTCCACCACAGCAGCTGTTTCTCCTAGTCCTACCAACTCAGAAGTTCTAACAAAAGATTTGTGCTAATGCCAAAGCAAGTGGGGAAAGTACCCTGTGATCTAGGTCCAAGACAAGGGCAGAAATAATTGAAAAATACTTACTGTAGTTAAATCTAATATTAAAGCTCACTTTTCTTTTATCTCAAAGGAGATGTTTGCAGGCCAAATCACCTCAGGCCCTCTCTGGCTCATGAACCCCTGTTCTGGAAGTTGAGGTCAAAGTGCCAGGCACTGCTTTAAATACTCTCACTGCTGTAAGCCAGGTATGTGCTTTGTCAAAGAGCAGGCAGCCAAAGCCCTTTTCACACTTCATTTTTTTCCCCTTTTTTTCATATTGTTTTGCTTTTTAAGCCATGAATGCATTGTGTGACAGTAAAAGTTTCAATCATGCAACGCCATTACTTGGAAACACATCCACATGAAGCAACTGAAGCTCACGTCCAGACAATCGTGAAGGTCAGGTTAACATTGAGCTCAAATAAGCACTGAAGATTTGGACTCCCAGCCTTATTATTTCAAAATCGGTCTGGATATCTGCACACAGATAGCGGTGCCTGTGCATGACAATACAACATCAGTGTAAAGAAAGAGCGACAGAGCACGGGTAGTGCTCCACACACACGCAGCTTTTGTTTGTATTGGAATGGAGCCTAAAGGCTTGTTTAACCAAGGATTTACTTTGGTTTTTTTCTTTGGACACAACCATCAGTGCAGCTAGATCCCTGTTTCTGTTAGTCACCAAAACATTCTTTTCTGGTAAGCCCACACCAAGGGAACAGTGATTTAATACTAAAGGGAGAACTGTTTAGCAACACAGTTTAGATGATGTCTGAAAGCGCACTCTTCAGAAAGCTGCACTACTCACCTGTGCAAACTTGGTAGCTACATAGCCCCATCTTATCGTGGGATTCCTAGGAAAAAGAACACACGATATCATATCTAAATAGGACCTCAAAGCAGCAAAAACCTAGCTTCAATTATTGATTTTATTGACCTATACTCTGGAAAAAAAAAAGGGGGGGGGGGGTTTGTTCTCAATCTCCTGACATCCAAGAGATGTCTGCCCAATTGCTGGTTGCTCACTTTCAACTACAGCAGGACAACTACGACAATTCCATAAACGGAAAAGCACCTGGAGGGCAGCACCACGCAGTTACATAGGAGGTGGGGATCTGTCCGACAGTCAGGTAAAGGACTGCTGACTTGACACTGTCAAACCGCAACCCAGCAAAGCACAGAAAAGTTTGTGAGTTCCCAGTTTTAAAGGCTTCAGCCTACCTCCTCAGACCCCCAAGACAGGGCTGCTTGTTAGCACCACTTAAAAACCACATAAGCCTATTGCAGGAACTGTGTATCACTGGATATTCAGTAGCAAGCTCTTAATTTGTTTCACTTCAAGTGCACTTCCCACAGGAATAAAATTAGAACTGTAAAGTCTAAATACTATTAGCATTAGAGTAAGTTTTCATGACCGAGTTCTGCCCTTGCCAGGTTACCGACTTAACCACGTCTTTATGAAAGCTCCAACTCATCAACTGAATAGATGACATCCAGGGACGCTTGATGTTGGCTTCCGTTTCTAGACTACTTCTGTTCTCTTGGCGTTGCTCACATTACCTGGGGTAGTTGTCTCTGTAGATGAGGGTGGGAGCAAAGAGGAAGTACAGGTACTGAGAAATTCTGGGAATAGGTACTGTGCCTGGAAGAGAGGGAGATAAAACAACAACAACACTCTGCAATCTGTCTGCTTACTCAAGGGTCGGTTTCCCCAGTACCCTTTTCACAACACACAACCCTTATCACCTGAAGAAAACCAGTCTGGAACTAAAGGCATGGGATTTGCAGAGAATAAAACAAACTAGACTTATCAGACAGAATCGCCTCCCCATGAAGCCATAGTTAACAAGTGAGGATGACTAACGGGCCGTGTGGTGCTAACACCTGGATATCAAATTCCCTTTTCTCCTAGGGAAGATGAAGCTGGAAGGCCTGTATCAACACAGGTTCGTGTTCAGGTCTGGAATGCCTTCCTGAAAGAGCTTTTATGCTCCTACAATTGCTGTCATTTCTACTAGAGCATTGAAATGGAGAGGCGCGGGCAGCCTCTACAGACCTTTGTCTCCTGAAAGCAGAAATAAAGAGGCCTGCTGAAGCAAGACTTAAGACACAGCAATGACTTAGGCCTGAACAACAGTCTAGCTCATTGCCTAATACCAAATGAAAAGGTTCAGGCTGAAATTATGATGCAGAAGTCCAGCCTAGAGCCTCATCACTTGCCCATTCAAACTCAAATCCTGCCTCTCCAATTCATGAGGCCAGCTCAAACCAACGGACGGAGAACAGAGCTGGTGGTGCACTGCTGCCAAAGTAAAAAGTAGGGCAAGTTACTCACTGGACTTGTCCTTTACAGAGGACAGGACTCTGGGTACGTTCTCCCGGACAAATGAATGAGCCTTCATTATGAGACGAACCTGTAAGACCGAGAGAGTATCAGTTTAATTTTCTCACTTTCTCGACTTCCCAATAAAGACTATATCAAGCATTTTAAGGCAAGGCCTTCAACATTGTTGTTTCTCTCCAATTTACCCCTTTTACAAGGAAAGGGCTGCTTCCTGTTTAACTGACTTGAATTTAAAACACCACAAGGTGAAACATGCGTTAAAAATCACAACTCAGTAGAGTCAAAACACATCTCATTTACACTCACAGGACCCTAGCATATACAAGGCCTCCGAATCACACCAGTAAGTCACTAACCAATTAACATTACCTTCAAATTGGAGGAAAAAAAAAAAATCTTTTTCCATTTCAATAGGCCAGTATGTTTCAAAGTCTTGAAACTGACTCCTTGAATTTAGATGTATTCTAGAGCAATTGCCACTACACTGGAATAAGGTGGTGCCACACATAAATAGTCCCTGAAGGACCAAAAGGAGGGCTACTCCAAAGTTAATTCTTCAAGCCTACACTGTCATCTCTGACCATCCTTGTTTCAGCCTGATGGTCTGACCAGTCCTTCATATTCTTGTGCTCTTTCCCCTCCTTCCCTCAGAAAAGAAAATTCCACTTTCAGTAGCGTTCTGACTACAGAACAAAGACAGTTGCTTTCTGAGAACAGAAAGAGAAACAGGAACCACTTGTTGACCATGTACTTGCTTTTTCTGTTGTTGGTTTTTGGTGGGGTTTTTTTTTGGTTTTTTTGTGTGTGTGTGTGAGGTTGGTTATTTTTGTTTGTTTGTTTGTTGTTTTTTTAAGAGGAATGTTACAGTTTCCTTGTGAACTATGGCACAACAGGTTCTTAAAATTGGTTTTAAGCATTTAGCATCCACAAGACAAGTAGAAATAAATGGAATTTCAGCCTTGAAGTACGTTCAGAAAAAACCCACAGTAAAATCTTACCTAGAGGGTAAAAAACCCACACGGTTTCCAGGTCACAATGAAATTTACTACCTGCTTTATCTCACTAGACTTGCTGCATGTAAGTCTGTCTTCAAGTGAAAGAAAAACTCCATCCACAGCCCTGGCTTAATTTCATGATTAAAAGCAACACTCCGCTCCTTAGGAAGCAGGACCCTTTCCATTCTGAAAACAAGATTCAATACATCCAAAGATACTGGGTAGGGACCTACCTGTTCCAGTATTTCCAAATCCAAGCCCAGCTGTCTGGTAGAGCGTGAACAACACCCCATAGAAGAGAGAGTGGATTACACGATGGGAGGAACTGCAATACCCTTGGGCCCACCAGACGAAGAGGTGGTATGGAATGATAACCGTGGCACAGAACATGCACAGCCAAGTACAGAAGACGACTGGGAACTTTCCGAAAACAAAGACCAAGAGATCAAATCCTAGGACCAGCCTAGAAGGGACAAGGAAAGGGACAATATTCAGTGTCCATTGTTTCATCAGAAATACTTCTACTCTACTAAGTGGCTACAAAATGCCAAGCTTCCAGATCATAACAGTTTGACAGTCTAGATAGTGACCGTGGCAATTTTCAGCTCACAGAGGACTGCCTGTGGCAGATTTAAGTGACCACTCCCAAGCACACCAGAAAATAAGAGATGAAGGACTCACGCCATCAATGCTGTCAGGCACAGCTTACCTTCAAAATCCCACAGGGCTTAGGCACATCTTTAAGACCAGCATGTGCTTTCAGAGTACACTCAAGCTCATCCCTGCTAAGAACAAGCACGTGACTATACGATCCACTGCTGGTCCAAAAGAGCTTTCGGAGAACGCTCCCAGGACACCATCACTATTACTTCCCAGGAGTTTAACACCTAAAGAGGCTTTTTCCCCACCTCTGTAGGAATGATGTATCCAGCACTCAAACCTAATTTAATTCTGCTTTGTGGAATCTGTAGGCATTCACATCGATTCAGTTTAGATGTCACCCAAAATGCTTAGGGTCATTAGACAGTCAGTCCAAATATGTCCAACGGGTGTGTACCAGGTACTTCAGTGCATTAATCAAGCTTGAAATATAAGGACATAAACAAAAGGATGTTCAACTTTACTGGTTATCAAAGTTACCATAGCTTACTCCTACGCATAAGCAGCTCTTCTAAACAAAGGTCAGAGGAGAAGGCAGTAGAGTACACCAACAGAATTTATTTGTTCTCATGCAGAGGCTCAACTGCAACTGGATCCAAATTATCAGACCTAGCTGAGAACACAGAAGTTATTTTTTTTAAGTAATTGGAGAATCCAGCCCTATTAGTTGATTTTAGAGGTAAATACCTATTCTCCCCCAATGTGCACACACTATTAAGTTAGGATCAGCTAAACAATATTCAATAGTGCATGAGCCCATTCTTATACCTAGGCAAGGGGGATAGCGCTTATAAACAAGATACAGCTCTAGTCTTGTACAATGAAGACCAGGTAATCAGCCAGATAAACATGTAATCCTACTTGTGTACATGGGACACAGCTTGCCAAAACGATACTATTTAAAGCAACAAGCAAGTGTGAAGAAAGCAGTCTTTCACAATCTTCTTCACAAATGGCTACCTGCAAAGCACAATCTTAGAGGCTGTGCCAGTGTCCTTCAGATTCTTCCCCAGGAAAAACAAGAAGTTCTATTTTTATTTAAGCACAAGTACAGTGTTCCAGAACTGTCATTTTTAAGCAGAGGAAGGACTGCTGAAGTATTTAAAGTTTTTTCTAAACACATTCTCCAAGCAACGCAAACAGCCGAAAGCTACCATCTCATTAAAGATATTCAACTAAAGTAGTCCACATTCAGTGATGACCTCTCCCTTTTGCCAGCCTTGTGATGAACAAAGCACATTGGTCTGAACCGTGCTGGCCATAATGCTCGCGGGACACACCACTCTGTAGGATTTGCCCAATATCTAGCTATCCAATTTGAAATGATCATGCCCCCTCAATAGGAATTCCAGCTTTTAAGTATGTCGAGTTGAAACCCCCGCTTCCAACAACATCCAAGGAAGGATTCCCCCTTCGTTCTGCACCATTCTGCACTTTCATGTATTGCTGGCGCTTTGGAAGCAAGCGTTTCCCAGCCCTGGTCCTGTCTTCCCAAAGCATTCTTACCTTCCTTCATCAATGAAGTCTACTAAAAGTGTGCTGAGGATGAAGACAATGAGAAGCGCGATGAACATGTGGTAGATCGTCCTGATGTGACTCACTTCAAACAGCTCACTAAGGGAGAGATTCAAATGCTGTCAGGCCATTCGCATAGCGCATCACACCTCCAGTATGTTAGCTTCCAAAGGGCTTCACAGTAAGCTGACATCACCGCCACCCCAGTTCAGGAGACGGAAGTTAACGCACAATTTGGGTGCAGTCTACACAGACGCTTCCTCGGTTTGTCCTCAGACAAAGGATAATTAGCCATAATCTCAGTGGTCCTGAGAGGACTGTAACTAAGGTTTACATCAGGGAAGCCTGGAAGCTGTAGTAGAGATGATTAGAAAGAAACAGAGAAGCTTAAACAGATTTGTCCACATGGTTTTGAACACAAGACCGCAGGGGGTGGTGGGAAGAGTACCTCAAAGCAAAGGCTAGTTAGTTTGATACCAAGGGTATTTTCAGTCAATTTAATGGAACACGCGAGGTTAAGTTACTCACTCCAAGAGGGACCTCCTGGCAGTAAAGATCTTCCCATGTTCTGGAGGGGCCCTCAAGGTCCTGCAAACAAAGATGAGAACATTTGAGACCACAAAGGAAATAAGGCTTCCAGGAAACATTATCTTGTCACAGGAACAACTTAAAAAACTGCCTTACTTGGCTTTATGCAGTTCCTTCTCTGCACAGGAAGCTGGGAAGAGGGGGGCTGAAGATGACGAATCCATGAGCGCTGATTTTGCCACCAAACTGTTCACAAACTCTGTGAAGTGACTGTCCACTTCCTTCATAAAAGCTGGCTTCAATTGCTGACAGAGTAAAAACAGAGCAGAAAAATGTTTAATTCTCTAGATACATTTTCATAAAATATTTACATTCCTTTTTATCCCAGAGCAAGGCATCAAGACAACAATCCTGCACCATCTGCCAACAGTTGGTGCCAACTTGGACGAGATCAGGGGCTTATCCTGGCCTGTTCACACACCTCAGGCCAGAGGACTGTGGATAATGTTTATCTTCTGTCAGATGCAACACAGAGGAGCAAAGTAAACATACTGATTGTCATATATGTCTGGAGCAGCAGGTATTTCACGTATTTCATGGTACCAAGAAGGCTGAGCTAAACTTCATACATGAGCCCCAGAAAACATTTGTTTTTAGCCAGTTACATTCTTTGCATACAAAACAAGTACAAACAAGATTTACTTTTTAGCCCACCTAGTGTTAATTGAGGGAAAAATGGACCTTTTCACACCTGTGGCTAAGCAATCACCATTGATGCTCTTATGCACTAAGGCAGAAGCGATCCCAATGACAAAAGTAGAGGAAGAAAGGTCAAACCTACCCTCCCACTGCTACCACCATTTGGATGAACCTTTCATGTACCACTGAAATTACAGAATGCACAGAAAATTTTCACTAGCACAACAAAACAGGGCAACATTGCTAAGCATTGAGACTGAGAAGTGAGACAGAAAAGTGGCAGGCAGCAAGACTGAAGTCCAAGATTTCAGGGGATCAAATATCCCCATTGAATCTCCTATGCTCCTTTTTCCTCAGACAGCTTTATACAGGTTGCCTTCTCTGTTACAGCCAGTTGTGACAAAGCTGCACCATTTTTAGCCTTTTCATGCTTTTCCTCTCTCATTTTAATTGGCAGAGGCAACTTCTAAAGCATCTAGTTTACTAGAGGCCTCGACTTCTAGGAGTGCTTGAACACCCATAAATGAGCATCCCCCTCTCTACCATCTTTTTGGAAAAATGCACTGATACAGTGAAAAAAAAAAATAATCAGCTGTGGATAAAGCACGGACCCCCCTGGTCAAAGACTGCTTGCTTCACCTGATAGAGACTTCGTCTTCTAGAAAGGAAAACGTTATTTAACCCTCCCAATACGAAGTTATCCAGACAAGGGCTATAACTCATCTTCAAAAGGCAGACTGTAAAATGCTAAGATGTTTTCATATACCTTTTGTCTTGCCTGAAAACTAGCACACTTAATTCATTCCTGTATTTTCCTGTCTGCAATGTAGTTGGATCTGCTATTCAGCCTCACAACACAAACTTTCAAAGGCCTGATCTCCCATACCCCAGGCAGAGTTTTTAAAACTAGATTCATTTAGAAGAAACTTAATGATAAAATATTCAAAGTTACTTATTTCTGCAGAAAGTGCCACAGTGAGCTCTGGATAGCTTTCTGTTGCAGTGCAAATTCTCTAACTCTTTATATGCAGAGAGGATCCTGAGATTTGCACAGCGTCTAAATTTACACAGTAGCATAAGTGTTATTCTTCTAACTAGAAAAAAGCAGGCAAAACTAATTCCCTCAAGGAAAGAAAAAGGCAAAATGTGTTCACTGTATTTCAGTGAGAACCTTGGGAATCTAAAGATCCTAAGATCTCTAGCACTTCAGAAGACAGCGATTCATAAGACGCCTGAGAATTCAGTTCCTCAACATCAAGTCCTCAGACACCAAATGCTTTTCCCAATACCTGAGCCTAGTGATGAAGCATGGCTGAAAGCTAACCCCCGAGTTCCTGAGCCATAGCCTTTTCAGGACACTCTGCCAGATAGCCTTCATCTTCAGCACAGGAGATAGGCAAGTTTCAAGAAATGACTTCAAATCTAATTGCATACTGTGTTTTGGTTTTTTGTGCAAATATCTGCTACCAACAATTGTTCTGACCATCCTTTTGCCTGGGATTTTTCACATTTGTCTCCAGCTTCAAGGTCCAAGTCCTCCCACACGATAACTGCATATTATTTCATCTAGTCTTCCTACTGATCAGCTGCTTAAGAAACACGTATGTTTCCCTGATCACCTTCAGAACTCCCGACTGCTACCTGCTTTCTAATATTTAAGGCTGAAAAGTAACAAAACCAAGAAATCAATTTTCAAGGAGGGAAAGAACGCGCCTGCAAGTTGTGCACAAAAATGATGCCTCCTCAAGAAGGCATTTGTGACACTTGAGCTCAATTGTCAGTAGGTGTTTTTGTTTCAGTGCCTATTGTGCTAAGAAAGCAGGAGCAGCATTGGTTCTGCTATGAAGGAACAGGCACAAAGTCTATGAAGAGAAGCCAGACAACTGAAACAGGATTTGTTAGCTCTAAGCCGCAGCAGTGATATGTTTGTCTCTTACACAGACCTCTTTCCACACCTATGTTTTAAAAAGTCCGACTTCCACTGATGGACACTTGTCATCCATGATACAGCCTTCGTTTTCCAAGCATGCTTAGACCAATCTTATACAGTAGACTCCAAATAGACTAAGCTAAAAAGCCCACTCCAGAAGCAAAGCTTTCAGGCTAACAAGACACACTAAACAGATGATGTATTCTTATAAAATGCTACTGTCTAATGTGACAACAGCCAAGCAAGCAAGTTTATCTCTACGGCAGGTAATACCAGACAATCCAAAATGAGATCACAAAACCAGAAAACTCTGAAGTCAAGATGCATCAGAACTCTACATTCCTCCTGTTTCACATTGGTCAGTTCCAGAGAGATCTCCTGAAACAGAAGGTGCAGTAGGAGAAGCAGCAGATTAATATTTAACTTAATAAAAACCTTTTTCCCCTATTTGGCAGCTGCCAGAATAGAATAAACAAGCTTCAGCAGTGCTTAACAAAACAGAAGCTCTTAGGAGGTGGCTACTCTTAGATACTGCTTTTCTGTGAGGCGGAGGATTGTCTCTTGCAGAGATGTGGATTTGTTCCTTTAAAAACAGGAGAAAAAAGTTTGTTGAGTTCTTTGGAAGTACAGCCTGTAACAGAAGATACCAGTGCTCTCCAGCATAGCCTGCTTTCACAGCATTGCATGCACATACTCCTACCAAAAAAGTCAAATAACCCGTACCCATTCGGCCTACCCCGCCACTTCGATTTTTAAAAGTCTCTCCCCTTTTTTCAGCCTAATCTCCTCTCTGCAAAAGTTTAACAGTAATTATTTCCTTAAACTACCTCTTCCCTTTAGTTAGCACTCTGCTGAGATTGCCTCCTCCTAATATCAGCCCTCGAGGGCTGATATCACCATGCGTGTGTGTTTGGAGTGGGAGAGCAGGGCGTGAGTTCTCATCAGACTAAAGAAAACACACCCAGAGCATAGACCGTACAGTGACTGTAATTCTGTACAACAAAACTGCACAACATATCATGCTGTATTATCTACTATTACTACTGCCATTCAAAGGGTGATCTACTTGAGCAATTGCCAGAGTAACTGTCAGTGCTCAATCAGCCAAGTAAATTTCACCCAGTCACCAAAGAAATGAAACTTTAGAGAATGCACCTCCCACCAGCCTTCACTATGACAGGGCATGCACACTGACAGCCTCCTCGTAGCCTCCCGCAATGGTGAGCACATAACCACATTTCCTAGAGTATGCTTGAAGTCTCAGACAAGAAAGCAGGCAGGCCACTCCGCTGTCACCAACAAGTTTTAAACAAAAGAATCAGATCATCACAAGGAACAAGAAGGGCACATACAAAAAGAATGCCATGCCAGCCAGAAGCTGGCCAGTAATTGATGAGAACTCAGAGAAAGTCGAGGGAAGTAACCCTGTGGCTTACTTACAAAGAGAAAGTTTCAAGAGTTCCCGGGCATGTTACTCATTCCAACAGATTTAGTAATTTCAGTCACTGAAACATGACCACATCCAGCCCTGACCAAGTGACAGAACACACAATTCTCAACTCAGTTCAGGATGAACAAAGGACTAAATTATCAGACTAGACTGCAGATGTATAAAGGCATTCTATTTCATATAACACCCAGCAACTACAAATCCCATCTAAATCAGTGGGAACTGCCAACAACCAGCACTTTCCAGAAGTCAAGCATCTGTCTACACCTCAGATACCTATCACCTAAAAAATAAACCACAATCTAAGCCTTTCGTTCAGTTCACCCAACGAAAGGGCTAGGCACTCCAGAATTCTCAGGAATTTTGCAGTAGACATATGTTTTTTACTTAGCCTTATAGCTATTACTGTAGCTTTGAGTAACCTTAAAGAAATTTGCAAGCTGCCTAATTCAGGGTTTAAAACCTGAACTCCCCGTGCTTTGGGAGAAACTTCAGTAATTGAAGTGCCACTGCTGGTTTCCTTCAGTCCTCATTGTGGGTAAGAAATCACCTTGTCTACAAATTAGCGTGTCTCAAAGCTGGTGGCCAGAAAAAAAAAAATTTAGAAACAAGAGACATTCCTGAAGAAAGAAATCCAAGATCACGTTTTCCCCTCGCAACCAGCTTGTGTTCCCTGGAACTTAAAGCTACGTGCACTTAACAGTCAAAGCTTTCTCGTGCAGGCATCTGTTACCAACATAGTGATTTGCAGTGGCTGTTTTGTCTGCAGAGAAAAGATATAAGGCTTGCCCTATCATGTCCTCACTAAGAATCATTCAGAGAAGACAATGTATGAAATAAAATTCAGAGCTGACTATCCCTCTAATGTGCTGAATTTTAGGAGTTTCAGCACAAAAAGCAGTATACCCTTTGCAGAAGACATTTAAACACATTTTAATTATATCTGGTATAAATTACACACCACCTATAGATGTGAACAAAAAAGACTTTAAAACAGGAAAACATCTCAATGGCGCAAGATATTTTTCTGTCTCACAAGTATCCACTCCCTAACATTCATGTAAGGGTGGCACAACGTGATTACTTCATCTTTACCATGGAATTCTCTGCAACAAGATGAAGCAAGCGTGCAGGACGATGTGCCCTGAAGAACATGCATGCTACAAAACAATGCTTAACAACGAGGGTGCAGTTCATTGTTACCTAACTTCTTTTAAATTGGGCATAAATCACCTTAACATAAGCTAAGACAATGGCAGCTCACACAGACGCCCACGAGGGTAGAAAAACCCAGTGCTACTTCCTTTGAGCACATTTCTCAGTGACAAACAGAGTGGGACCAAGGCTCAGGAAGGTCATCTCCACAGCCAGGGCAACAGAAGCTGTGGGATGCAGGTTACATGCTACCCTTTATTCAGTGGATAGCAGGACACAGAGCGTTTTAAAGACTAAATATGCAAGCAGGCTAGCTGGTAATCACACTGCCTAAAGTTAGCGGTGAGAGAAGTTCATTTTACTTATCATTCTTATGTTTGGGCTTCAACCTATTGGGGTCAAATAAGACAGAGCCGCATTTGACAATACTACCTCTCTTATGCAGAGCCAGAAGAGAGGATGAGGGCTATATAAAAGTCACTGCACACAGCTATGACTGAAGAGAGATATTTGTGTTCCAGGACTAGTGACCCTCCTAAAGACATTCAGGGTCAATTATCCAGCTCTTCACCAGAAGCAAGCATTAGAGTATATTTACCTCAGCTTCTGCTATTAGCTGCATTTTCCTTGTTATCACATGGTCAACATCAACCCGGCCTAAGGAAGGAAAGCAAATATTTAACAGTTGCATTTTCAGTGATGCGAGCTGCACATCTGAGATCACGGAAAGCACAACATACGGTAGCTCAATCACCGCTTTTTCATTAGCAAATTTTGTCTTCTAACAGGGTCCCAGCAAATACAAAACTAAGCTTCAGGAAACTCATAAGCTATGACCAAGTATTTGAAACAGCCATTTAGGGTCACAACACTAAGGCAGTCAACAGCTGATAACATGCTGGATTTTCGAAAGCTTTATTTTCCATCAGCAGCCCTGCAGATCTTCCCAAGGTCCCTAAACATATTTAGCCTTGAAGCAGCGATTAGAACAACCCTTAGAAGGTCATACGCAAATGTGCTGATCTTTTATCAGAGCTTTATCTTATGTACAGTGAACTAGATACAAAATTAGTTTGTCTGGAGGTCTCCACATTGCCAAGTCAGTCAAGCCACAACTATCTGTAAAATAACATAACCAGCTCTGAAGACAGGCTAAATGGCCAGCTGGAAGGTTATTCTGTGTTCAAACCTGGCTACTCCCGCCCCTTTCAGCCCCCAGGAGAAGTGCTAGACATCAGGCTGAAGGTATTCCTCAATGTTCCATCGCGTAAGCAAAGTCAGGTCTAACCACACCATGAACATCGTCTGACTTTTATCATTACTAGTACCATTGGCTCATATGTAAAGCCTCAAACACCACCTGTCTCTTGCGTAAAGATCTATACACACCTGAGATGCCTCTATTGCATCGAGAGGAACAACGTACACACATGAGACATTTCAGACCGGTTGAGTTTTAAGACAAGGCTTGTCTGCAATGGTTGTAGAGTGCTGGCAAGCCAGCTGGTGTTTCACTACTCCAATAAGAACTACAACACGGAAGATAGTTACTTAAAACAGAGTCTTGCACATGAAGGAAAAGTAAGGTTAAAGCAGCAATATCCACCCCCCTAAAATACTAGTCAGAGTGAAAAGGCAGCAACAAACCTTGCCTTGTGCATGTCCTTTGGCAACTATAGATACAAGGGTACCTTACACAGTAACACATGGCAGCTAGCATTACAACTTGCATGCTCAGTTTCTAACACAACATTAACCACTTTCAGAAAACGAGGATACTGAACTGATTCCCCAGTAACCTTCCAGGGAAGCATGAGCTAACAGATTTGCCGCAAAGGTGCCAATGTTGTGCTGCTGTGTGACAAGACAGATTCATAGCAATATCCCCGTTCATAATGCAGCCTCCTCATCTTGTCCTCCTTGTATGTGCACAGCCTATGCACACAAAAAGCAGCGTGCTGTTTTAACAAAAGCAAGTGCTTCTACAATGTGCACTAGTCCAAAGGTGCTCTTATGAGAAACCAGTTCTAAGAAGTTTTCGAGTCATCTCTGAAGCAGGTCTACCTAGGCAAGAGACTTCATCTTCAATGAAGCTATGCTGTTGTTAGCATTAACTCCTCCCCCAGCCGAGCAGGAGGATAATTTTTTGTCTATAAACTGCTACACAAGCTATAGACTTACAAACAGACCAGCAACAACAGCCTATTACTTAGCAGCCTTGTAATGCAACAACAAACAAGGAAACTGCTTAATACCATGAACTTTCAGCTACATGCAAAGATCCATTTTTACAAAAATAGAATTCCTGGTTGCTAAGCATCTTACCTCCGAGACAATAAAATTATCTCAGCATTTAAGCTCATCATACTGTTACATTTGCCAAACAACAGCAGTTTGGAAAATAACCCAGAAGAGTGTAAGGTACCACTACAGCGTCCCTTGTCCCACTCAGCTCGTAAGCTCTTCTGGTCTCACATGGATTCCCTCTTCTCCCCGACAATAAATTAAAAAAGCAAAACACCAATCTGTCCCACAAGCAGCAGAACTGTATCCCTTTCACATCACCTCAATGGCTCTACTCCCTCTCTGCGCCACTGCACAATTGCATTCATAGCCCCCCTCGCTACTACCACTACGCTAAGAACCACCTTGGGCTTACCTCCTAGAACACAGAGCAGAGCCATTGAGCTCAAAGCACAACTAACCTCCTCCTGCAAAAAGATAAGAATTTTGTGTCTCTTCCAGCTGCCAGTCTTCAAGACTACCAAGTTTCCTTGAAGCTGTCCAACACGGCCAAAGAAGACAGGACACATGAGACTTCAGTGGTTGCACTAGTAAGCTAAGCTAAAAATTAATAAGTGCTGCTTTGACCATATATTTCCTGTCAGATCTTGCATTCGATGCCTCACTTATTATAGCTACCCGGGAGTGGCGCACTTTGGAAATAAAACAGCCTTTTTGACTTACAAGGCGTTAAAGATGGATACAGTTTTACAGACACCTAATGTACAGCTTTAATAGCTGTACAGGAAACAAGGCCAGTCTCTGACCTGCTGACGCTGTAATTCCTAGATTGTATGCAGTGTCCTTCCTATCACTTTATCCACCCACACACCAGCATATATGCACAGACTAGACACAGAGCATCTTTTAAAGGCTTTAAAATCAAAATCTCCATGTCTTCGTTATATGCATCTCATAAACCCATGTAAAACCACCTGTAAGCTTGTTGCTTCTTTTCCAGAACAAAGATTCTCCTGCAGAAGAAGAAACAACTCATTCTGCTGTGTTCCATTGCCCCATAAACTCAAGCTGCGTCACAAGGCAGATACCAGAGAACACATAACTCATCATCTTCTTGAATCACTCATCTTCTGTTGCGCAAGCTGCTACTTAGGTTCTGTGAGGTCACTCGAGAAGAGAATCATCCCATGATTTTGAGTTTAGAAAGGAGTTGTGCGCTGCTGAAGTCTAAATCCTCATTTTCCTTTGACACTGAAAATGCAGACTGGATGCCCCTGTATCATTTTGGGATTGCAATACCACTACAAAAATGGACTCAAGGCTGCACAAGACAGCAAGCAAACCTTAGCATTTAAAGCAAGACAGGATACGCCTTAAGAAAATAGGAAGTACGTTTAAAGGCATAAGGAAGAAAATCATCTTCGAAGGCTAGTATGAAATAGTAGCAAATTTCACAGGAGACTGAAGCAGGGTTTGCTTTCAAACAGCTTTGCTCACAGGCAGATGTTTCAACTTACAGGGAGTTCCGTTCCCTTCCCAAAGACATCGATAACATCTTTACGTGGCTGATCGCTTGTCTTAGGCTTGTAAAAACCAATCCTTGTAGGACGTAACACATCTGCACAGCCCAAAAATCAAAGCACATACAAAAGTCAGAAGAAAAAAATAGAACAATGACTACTTTAAATGAAAGTTTGTTTTTTTTCCAGAGGAAACCAGGTTAACAAAAGATCACCTGAAGATTGAGAAAGCTTCTTATTATTGAAAACTTGAGCAACTTAAGTTTCACAAGAGATTTACAAACTACCTTTCTTAAAGGATCTCATTGTTCCTTCCTCAACCTGCTCTTATACACTACAGATAAGTGACATTTGACATGACTAGAGAAGCATCCCACTCACATGATCCGTTCGTGTTGCAGCTTGGGATCCAACAAAACCACCTCCTGCGCAAGACGCTAGCCAGCACTCTACTAAGCAAGCTCTCAAAAATTAACTGTGCCAAAAAGCATTAATTTTATTTAACTGCTACAGTCCACCGAGGGCACAAGTGGGAAGAAGTCATTTGAGTAAAGCTGTGGCTTGCATGCAGCGTTACAGTCCCAGCCTGTGGTGACTTCAATAGCCACAGAAGCTGCCTGCAGCCCAGCACTCTGAGCTGTTGCCAACTCAAACTGTTCCTGCATTGTGGCATTAAGTTTATTATTGGGTAGTTAAAATCACCCAGGGAGACTGGTGCCATCTAAATCCCTGCACAGCATTCAAGACAAAAATGCCTGTTTGCAGAAAAGCACTCAAATAAACTTCAGTTTATTGTCATATGTACTTTAAAAAAAAAGACACTTCTCAGAACAACGAAGCACACCACTCATTTCTGAAGCACCTTCCCCTAATGATGTCAGGATCTGTTTAGCTCCAGGATCTTCATGGAAAGTCAGAGAAACTGAACCCAATACTGCCCTTCCCTAAAAGGGTTTAAAAATATTATCTTCATTATTTCTTGATCAGACAACTTACTACTCAAAAGGTCAAAGCAACAGAGGCAGAAGGATTTCCAGTTACTGTTGGATACCTGGATTCAAAGGCTCTGTCTTTAGAAACACTGCAGTTATTATTTGACTGAGAGCAATGTTAAAGCCAATGTAGTGCAAGGCTATTGTAAAGAGGGAAAGTCTTCCATATCTGGTACAACACAACAGACACTAATAATTTGATGCTAATAAGCCTTATTCTGACTTACATGGCCACTCAGCAGAGATGAGTTATGACTCAATTGCTCCCAGAGCTCAGCTGACCTGCTTAAAGAATGTACAGGCCATAGGTCATTGTGCCACAGTTGGGCAAAGAATTCAGTTAAAAAGTCATTTCTGCAGGGACATTGGACCCAAACAGCCTCTTCACCAGCAGGAGGAAACATCAGCATTCTCTGTGTCATGCCAGCGTCACCACAGGCTCTTCAAAAGAAACTGCTCCGGCTTCACCAAACCCACAGGTTGCAAAACACGACAGCGCCTAGAATTACCCAAATCCAGCTCATCTCAGACAAGACAGCTCTGCTTGATCCATCCCCTGAAACACATCCAAGAAACTCAATTCAAACATCTCATTCCCAAATTCACTAATCCATAAGAAACAGCCTGTTGATACAATGAACACTTGTTGCTGTGAGCCAGACAGCAAACTGTAAAGCTTTCCAAATTGTTTCCCGTTTCAGAACTTCCTCCTCCTACATCTATCAGGAGGCGCACACAATTCATGCAGCTGCATGAACTTTTGCACCGACGATGATCAATAGTAACCTCTTCATTGGAAGATGACAACCCCTCTCTAAGGCCAGCATTACCAAACAGGCTTACTCACATCAAACAAAGATATGCCACATCGCTTGTTTGCAGATCAGTCTGTGGAGACACTTCTA